TATATAGCCCCATATGCCAAAGTAACTGGGCAGATAGCTGTAGGAATATGTACGCCACATGGGGCCCATGTGCCAAATATCTGGGAAAATGCATGGACATTCTTATGTTCATTGTACATGAGCCCCACATGCTACATACCTGGGCAGATAATTATGCCCTGGATTCCCCATTGACCAACTGTTAATTATACTTTATTTTTAAGACGTTATACGTAGCTACAGCTATGACATGAATGCCCCATTGCGGTACTAGTACTTTTTACTTTAATAAGTGTGTGCGCATGCTCAGTAGAAATACCAGTTTGTGTGAATGAAGCTAGCGATGATGGGACCATCGGACTTAAGCCAATGAACTAAGCTGTCTTTGGCAGTTCCGGTGTCCCGTTTCAAGTTTTGAATTCACAAAGGAAGCGCCCATTCTAGTGCCGTCGTCTTGTAGCGAGTGTAAATGAAGGAAGATTCATATGCCTAAGAAAGTGAAGTAAAAGTAAGTAATTTATACTTGTGTAGCCTAGACCTAAATGTTGTTGAATTCCCTAACTATAGTATACTGCTTACTGTGCTAGTTTCTTGAACTAGCGTTGGATCGCCAGTTAACTCTCTGGCTAGGGGCATAAGTCAAGGCATATCCTACGTGTTTTGTCTATTATATTTTTCGCCGGTGTATAAGCTAGGCCCTGTCTACCTAACTAATGTCATTGTGTATAGCTAGGCCTAGCCTAGACTTCGTGATGTAACTTTAGTATAGGGGAATTCGACCTGGCTGGCAAGCCCTCCCACCCCCAAGCTAGGGGGCCTAGCTAGCTAGGCTGTTCATATACGAGTCCACATATACACCAGAACATAATGTCATTGTCAAAATATTGAATTCGAACATGATGGAGTGCATTACAGTTCAAAGCTGTTTTCTGTTTCTCAAGCATAAAATACTACACAATTTAATGGAAGTGGATATATTTACGTCGTCGTAAACAAATCAACGATATATCTACGTAAATGAAACAACGCATGCACAGTCATACTTTAACAAACTTGCATTTTCAGCACTCGATATTAGCGTGGCCTCCCATGGCCGCGGTGATTCCCCCAAGTTCAGCATGGCACTTTAAATTAATTTATAATTTTGTTTTTTATATTTTATTAAACATAATTTAATTTTCTACAACAGCACAGTATGTAGTTTAATCATTAAATAAATTACTAAATCATTGTGTTAAATTTTCAAATAAAATTGATACTATAGTATTAGCTGTGCTATTGTAGAAAATAAAAGTATGTTTAATAAAAAAATAAAAAACAAATTATAAATTAATTAGTGCCATGCTGAACTTGGGGGAATCACCGCGGCTTGGGAGGCCACGCTAATATCGAGTGCTGAAAATGCTAGTCGTTAAAGTATGACTGCGCATGCGTTGTTTAATTTACGTAAATATATCGTTTACTGATTTGATAAACGACGACGTAAATATATCTACTTCCTTATTTAATATCAGTATAGGCCTACATCTTTGTGCAGCCTACTGATATATTGTCGATCTTAATTGTGAAGTTAAACATTTTCTTTATTTCTTCTTTATGTTGTTTTTTTGTCAGGAGTAAAAAAAAAACATGGCATCCATAGGCCGTTATTAATGGAGCTACTGTAAGTATTGGCGAAGATGGACACGAAAACTTAAAATTCAATATCCATTATCAGATCACCAGTCCTGAGCTGCAGTATGTGCTACCTGCCAACGTACCAGTACTTTCTATGGAGGCATTATAATAATTTTGATCGGTTCTTGAAGATGGTCTTGTGCAAACATTTGGTGAGTTTTGTTGTGGAAACAATAATAATAAGTGAATACTTTATTAAAGCGAATAGTAATATACAGATATATATTGTGATTGGGATTCCATTTCATCACTTGTCACAAGTTGGTCAATGGTAAGGATTAGATGATGTACGCGTAAAATTAGATTTCATAATTCCATGATATAATATTTATGCTAATGACAGTTATAATTTAAGCATAATGTTTGTTATTTTTTTGTTTTTACTTTATTTTCTTTTATTTTAATTGGATTTGATAAACCTACTTTCATTAATATATTTAACAAAGTAATTATACACAGCTTGAATAACTGTTTTTTGTACCTGTACAGTAGTGTGCTGAATTTGTGATGTGCAGCCTGAGAGTCACCTTAACAGATTATGTTATTTAAACTTGCACAAAACACCTCATTTAAACTTATCACAGAACAAAAATTTCAAAATACATCAACTTCATGTGATGGAATTTGGTGCTATTATATAATCGTTTGTTTTAATTACATGGTAATTCACTTAACATATTTATATTAATATTTTACAGTATTTTCAAGCCT